TGTGCACCCAAAATTTAAGGAGTATTCACATGAGCTGTACATGTGTAGATACTATATAATTATTGAACAGTATAATTCCACACAGTAAAATTTTGCTGAAAATAATTCTTAAATGGTTTCAGTCGTACATAGAGAACTACTCGAAATTCAAACTGGATTCCAAAGGGGACAGAAAACAGTGGGTACCATTGCTGGCGTCAACTGGAGCTTGGCTAAAAGCAAAGAATACCAGAGTGATGTTTCCTTGTAATTTATTGGCTATGAAAAGGCATTCCACTACATAGATCATAACAAACTACGGATAACATTGTGAAGAATGGGGATTCCAGGACACTTAATTGTGCTCAGATAGAACCCATACAAAAACCAAGAGATAGCCATTCAAACAGAACAAAGGGCTACTGCATAGTGTAAATCAGGACATTTGTGTCAGCGTTGAGCGAGCACTCTGGAAAGTTGGGCTATACAAAGAAGAGCGTGCGGCTCCACGACTGAAGGTGCACTCGTTAACCACTTGCATGGTGCCCAGGACACCGCCTGGTTTGGGAAAGTAAAGGCCTTGAGGCATCAACTGATAAACAACAAAGACTCCGACCTTCATTAGTGATTGCAACTCAATGTAAAGAATACAAAAATCCTCACAACTGGGCCAATAGACAGCATCATGCTAAACAGAGAAAAATTGAAAGTATCAAGGCTTTTATTTTACTTGGATCTACAATCACCATTCATGAAAACAGCAGTCAGAAAATAAATGATGGAGTGCACTGGGCAAATCTGTTAATGAAGAAGTGTTTAAGATCAAACATATCACTTTGGGGATTAGGGTGCCCTTGACCCAAGCCATGATAGTTTCATTCACTTCATATGGACTTAAAAGATAAATATGAATAAGAAAAACTGGGAAAGGAATTATGCATTGGATTATGGCGTTGGCAGAGAATACTGAAGGTACCCTGAACTCCCAGAACAACAGGCAAATGTGTCATGGAAGTCCAACCAGCAGCTTCTTAGAAGTGAGGACAGGGAGACGTCGTCGTGTACACTGAGCACGTGTAATAGGAAGGAGAAAGACACCACTCTGGGGGGCGGGGGAGGAAGTACAGTAGAAGAGGAAGGCCCTCAAAGCGGTGGATGAACACAGTGGCTGCAGCAGTGGACTCCTGAGAACGCAGCAGTTGTGGAGCTGCCACAGGACCAGGCAGTGTTGACAGGCAGGACTGTCATCAGGGGTCGCTAGGGTCAGAGCAGTCAGATAACACATCACAACATATTGCATACATTACTTGGAATTTTACTGCACAAAGTGTTCTTATTAATGTATTCAATTTATATCATTATGAACTCATGGCATTTATTTTGTTATTTGGGTTATAATCCAATACTTTCTTAATTTTGCTGTTCAAGTTACTCCAGCTTTGGGCATTGGAAAGTCTTCACTTGAGTCCTGGGGCCATTTGTCAGCCCAGCAGCGTGGGGGTTGTGTTCTGTTTGAAGCACTTTGTTACTCTCTGGCATTGTAAGATGCTCTAGGCTTACCTTGTATATTTGCTGCTCTAGACCTAGAATCAGCCAGAATTTCTCCAAGGAATCAGGGTTTTGTTGGAGAATAGTTTTAGAAACCAAGAAGTGGGTACGTGGTTTGCTTATCATTCTGACTTAGTTGACAGAGAAAAATACTTGTATGTGCACCAAGACACACACACACACATACATATATATTTCTGTAAATGTTTTCCTATGTAACCATCTATATTAAGCTAAACATGAGTTCTTACTGATATCTCCAACTTGCACCTATTACCTTATGGATCATCCTGCCCTCCTCCCCTTGCGTAGGTGTAACCTCTGGCTCTAATAGAGGAGACCTGGCTCCCACTACCCACCATCCATTTACTTAATTGTTCCTTTTCCAGGATACTTGTATAGCAGTATCAGAATTGTTACTCATGACTCATAACCACAGAGTCTCACACCTTGGGTAATAACTTTCATCATGTGCAGTCTAGTGATTAAGTGAAATTCTTTATACCTTTTAGTTTTAAAGACTCTCTTCCTTTCCAAAATTAATTCCTCTCCATATCTTTCCACCCAACCCTTTCGTTGACGTCATTTCATGCATTTGCACTACAGTTAGATTTCCTTGTTATAGTTTCGTCCTAGGATTCCCCCACCATCACCATTGAAATGCCTTGTTGGTTTTTAAAGATTGCATATATTAGGATTTTCGCTTTATAGCCTACAGTTCTGAAGGTTTTGACGAATGTATAACGTTATGCATCCACCATTACACTATTATAGTACGTAGTTTCACAACCCTAAAAATCACTCACACTTCACCTTTTCATCCCTTTCCATCGCACTCTGGGCACCACTGATCTGTTCACCATGAGTATAGTTGTGCATTTCCCAGAATGCTATGCACTTGGAATCCTACCGCATGTAAAGGAGCGTGCCCTGTGGGTGCAGCTTTGGACTGCTAACTGAAAGGCTGAGAGAGAGAGATGATGCAGTTACTCAAGATTTACTCATGGAGACCTG